AAGTGACGTAGGGTCGTGGGGCGACATTCTAATACGAGAAAACCGCCAGGATGAAGAAACCCTAATTGAAGTGCCTATATCGTTCGTGATAATAGCCGTTCTCACGACGGGCTATCCGGCGGATGCACCTGATTTGACCAAATCTGCACCTAATTTCTTTTACAGCAAATATCTTCATTTTATGAATTTATTTCAGTGTTTTAATCGATGATGCTCTCCAGACTTGTGACAGCTCAAGAAAAAAGTGAGCTCGCTCAGCTCAACTCCGTCTTATCCGCTCCCGCTCAGCTCCCGCTCAGTTTAACGCGGCTCAGCTCAGCTCACGTTCCGCTCAAACCGGCTGCGCTCCGCTCACGCTCAGCTCAGCTCAGCTCAGTTTCCGCTCAGCTCAACTCAGCTCAGTTTCCGCTCCGCTCAGCTCAGCTCAGTTTCCGCTCAGCTCAGCTCAGTTTCCGCTCAGCTCAGCTCAGCTCAGTTTCCGCTCAGCTCAGTTTCCGCTCAGCTCAGCTCAGTTTCCGCTCAGCTCAGTTCAGTTTCCGCTCAGTTCAGTTTCCGCTCAGCTCAGCTCAGTTTCCGCTCAGCTCAGTTCAGCTCAGCTCAGTTTCCGCTCAGCTAAGCTCAGCTCAACTCAGTTCCCGTTCAGCTCAGCTCAGTTTCCGCTCAATTCAGCTCAGCTCAGTTTCCGCTCAGTTAAATTCAATGCCACCCATTGCCGAATGCCGAATGCCACCCATATCTCCGTAACGTGTCGGGGTCCGGCCAATGACGTCACGGCAATGCGTGTGCTGATTGGTCATGGACATCGAATCATCGGGACACAGGTCGGGACATCACGCCGCAGTGGATAAGGATACCAACCGAACGGCTTACAACGGTGCGAACGGGGTGCAATAGAGGAATGTAGCGATTTCCCGACCGATCGCTTCAGTTTGCGGTGTCCAACTACATGGCCTTTCACCTAGTGACGTCTTTGGTTTGTATATAATATTATTTCCAGTTTATCATGTTTCTAGTGTTTATAGTGTATCAATATTCAATGCACATTGCATTCGGTTTTATATTTTTATCCGTTCTCATCATCTTCCAGTGTACCTACTAGAACTGGATCAACTCAGCTCAGCTAAATCAGCTCAGCTCAATCAGCTCAGCTCATCTCGCTCAGCTCAGCTCAGCTCGCTCAGCTCAGCTCAGCTCAGCTCAATCAGCTCAGCTCAGCTCAATCAGCTCAGCTCAGCTCAATCAGCTCAGCTCAGCTCAGCTCAATCAGCTCAGCTCAGCTCAATCAGCTCAGCTCAGATCAGCTCAATCAGCTCAGCTCAGCTCAGCTCAGCTCAGCTCAGCTCAAGCTCATTCAGCTCAGCTCAGCCCAATCTCTTTCAGCTCAGCTCAGACAGCAGCTCAGCTCAATGCATTACTGAGCCGGCTCAGCTCACAGCTCAACAATTTGGCAAAATGTTGAGCCGGCTCATGAGCTGAGCTGATTTTTGAGCCGGCTCAACTGAGCTGATCACAAGTCTGATGCTCTCTGATAATATGACAAAGCAGGCATATTAAGCAATTAATGCAACCCTAGCTGATAGCTGCTAAGAGACACACTGAACCTGATTTGACCAAATCTTCACCTAATCTGTACCAGATGTGCACCAAATGTGTACCAGATGGCCGTCGTGAAAACGGCTAATGTTAGTCCCTGGTGTTCATGATAAGCATAACATCTGAAATTGAGTTCGCACTGTCGGCTAGCTCTGGGCTCAGCGATCGCTGGTCCGCCAGGGAGGGCCCTCAAAGCTCGTATCCTCCGTGCCACGTGGGGCCCTTGGTTACTGGTATGGGCTCTCAAAACTTTGCTAGGAACCCTTAGAGGCCGGATTAAGGCATAGGTGGCGGAACGGGAAGGGCACTGGGGCACCGTGCCCCCTTTGATTTTGACATTTTAACATTAGCCCTATGGGCGTTGCATGGAAAGAATGGAACCAAATGTCGGCAATCCCCTTAATTGAAGGTGTTCCGCCGCTACTGGATTAAGGCCCTCAGAAGCATATGTTGAGGAAGGCCCCGTCAGAAGCCAATGGGGTCTTAGGTACTCGGCTCTTGGGCCACGTAGCGACACGCGGTAAGTGGCATTCAAAAGAGCGTCACAGGTCACAAAGAAAGAACTTCGTTTATTTTTGAGGTCAGGTCGAAGGTCAGGTCACCAGAGCTCATCAAATGTCAAATTTCGCCTAGTTTAATTGTTTGGCAAATTTGTGCATAGATCGGGAACGGATAGAGCAACAGCGCAGCGGAAAAACGCATTCGATAGCTCTTTTGAAGCTGTTTCTGAATAATATTCTCAGATTTAACCAACAGTAAGCGACGTGGCCTCAAGAGGTGAAAAAAACTTAAAATTGACGAATGACGATGTTATGGACATGTTTTCTGTATTTTGACTCAAAACTTGCACGACAATGACGCTACCAGTGCCAGCTCATCGTGTTCCTCTTGTCGAGACGCGTTGAATTAACTATGATTTGGTGTTAAAAATTCATTTTAACACTTGCCCTAAAGTCAAGGTCATGACCTGGCCAGATAATGTCTTGTTGCACATAAGTGGATTCATATCGCTAAGCTGCACATCCAGCGTGTTTTCCATCGCTCTAGCATGTCCGTCGAAAGTTATTGTCAAAGAAGTGTATTTCATGACCTGAGATGACCTCAGAGGCATAAACGGAGGTCACGGGTGCATTTTCCGATTAAATGTGTCATGTTTATAATATGTGATACGATGTTAAATAGTGTTTGTTATGCATTTCGTCTAAAACATTCGCAGTTCAATTTTTTCCGATTGATATTGGGGAGATTGCAAAATTGACCTAGCCTTAGGTCACCGACACCATAATCCCGAGATTGATGTTTTATGCATGCTGTTGCTGTTACCAATTGCTGAAAGTTTCAAGCGATCATTCAGTCGGTGTAGCTATGGCGAACAGAATTTTTCCCCGTGGAAAGGTCATTTGGCGTGACCTGGTGACCTGACCCTGAACGATCGGGGTCTGAAATTTCTAACAACTTGTGCAGAAAATAGGCATATTTTTTCATTTAACCTCATTTTGATAACAGACTATGTCGTTTAGTTTCAAATATTTTTTTGAATCTTATTTCCCGTTGGGTACAACATGCAAAACGCAGAAAGTTTTGGAGACGTGTAGATATCAATATCGTCGATGGAGTTAACGCCTTTGAGTAGCGTGATGGCCGACGGAATGTGTCCGTACAAGTTTGGGGACCGTGGCGACGCCCCTGAAGCCTAGGCGTATACAGGGTGATCAATAAAGAATGACATAAAGTTAGCCCCCACGAGAGGCACATAATACATATTTTAATGCATAAACAGCACACCGTTAGAAAGAGAAATGTTGGACATTTGACATTACCCAAACGAAAGTCGGTTGTGACACTTCGTTTGTCTATAGGAGGTGCTCGAAGTGCCCACCCCTCTAAGCGCAGCGGAGCTCGGCCCGGCGCCAGGTGTGCCGCGCCATGCGTCTCAGATGGTTACCGACCATGTGAGGGTGTAGTCTTCGACGACTAACGACAGCATTCAGCTCATCAAGGGTCTTGAGTTCTCTCCACGATTTTTTGAGCTGCTTGGAGCCACAAGCTCAAGTCCAGGCAGGAAAAACTCTGGACTGCAGGGTGACCAGGGATGCTGGGCCCTTGCCGGTACTTACGAGGTGCAGAGAATCTGACAATTCTTCAAAAAATCGGCTCAACATCCAGTTTCGCAGTGCTTCAGGAAACCTGGGAATGACTTTTAGGAATGTGTGGGCGATTCTGTACAAGAAACTGGACTGGAAACCATATCGCCCGATCCTAACGACCGTCCTCTCCGATGACAGTATTGTGTCGAGGCTGGAAGCCTGCACCTTCTGGCTCAATCAAGCGGAAGAATGTTTCGAACGGATGATCTGGAGTGACGAGAAGTGGTTTGCGCTACAGCAAGCACCCACAGGAAGGATATAGTCTCCTGGTAGCCGAATAATCCACAGAAGCTGATTCCATACAAGAAGGCGCCCGGAACGTAGGTCATGGCCGGGCTCCGCCGAGCGGAGAAGCAAGACCTCTTCGAGCACCTCCTGTAGACAAACGAAGTGTCACAACTGACTTAGGTTTATGTTACGTCAAATGTCCCACATTTCTCTTTCTAACGGTGTGCTATTTATGTGTTAAAATATGTATTATGTGCTTCTCCTGGGGGCTAAGTTTATGTCATTCTTTATTGATCACCCGTATTTTCACGACATGCGTACCTATGATAGGTATAACTACGTGATAGTTGAAAATGAATTAAAAGAGAAACAATTTAATGCGCTTGAAATGGTATATGAGAGGGCCGTGTCTCCGAGAGCCGGTGCAGATAACGGGGACAGCGCTGGACTGACTAAGTGACTACCTGCAGCGCGCACACACTGTGTTATTCAGCCTTAAAAGTAAAGTACCTAATCTTGATTCAGCCTTGCCTGTGTCGGTCTGCCCCGCCTGGGCTGTATCCCCTGTATCGGTCCGCCCTTAGAAGTCTTTCTCGTCTTACCTGTCACCACCATTCACGCTTCGCCTATCCGCCATTGCTGGTCCTGCCTGAAGTTCTCACCATTAGAGTGCGGTCTATCCGTACACCATCAATGGACTTCTTCATAAACCTGCCTTATCGTCATCACTCGGAGCCTCATTCACCGTCATCAGTCAATCCTGTCTCACCATGCGATCACTCGGAGGCTTATTCACCGTCATCAGTCGGAGCCTTCTTCACCGTCATCGGTCAATCCTGCCTCCCACGATCGGCTGGAGACTGCCTCACCGCCATCGGTCAATCCTGCCTCCCACGATCGGCTGGAGACTGCCTCACCGTCATCAGTCGATCCTGCCTCCCCACGATCGGCTGGAGACTGCCTCACCGTCATCAGTCGATCCTGTCTCCCCACGATCGGCCGATGCTGCCGCCAGCCCTCGTCCCGCCTCACCTGGCCGCCATCGAAGGACACGGCTGGCGCTGGCTGAGCTCGGAGCGCTCCGCGCCGACCGTCCTCCGCGCGCCGCCCGCACCTGTTGTCTGAGGTCCGGTCGGTCCTGCAGGCCTCCCGCGCCCCGCGAGTCGCCCGTCCGCGCTGTTTTGACAGTCGGCCGGCTTATTTCGGCGCTCTCGCGGCGCGGCGCCGGCCGCAGCTATGGCACCTATTCGTCAGGCCGTGCCTCGCACCGCTGATCGGTCGCCGCGGGGTCACCGGCTGGGGCGGCGGCGGGGGCGGACCGGACGACCCGGAACAGGGGCACGCCGGGACAGGCAGCGGCCGGCCCGAGCTGTGTGTGATGGGTGGGAGCTGTCTCAGAGGAGGAACAGAGTGACTGAGGGAGCGAGACGAACGGGGAACGGAGTGGCGAGAGAAGCCGCCCGATGAGGAAAGCTGAATGAGGAAGCGGGCGAGAAGTGGAGCATCAGCTGGCGGCCGGCCAACCCTAATGACAGCCCGAGGCGCCGAGACGAGGCGAGCGAACACCGTGTAAAACGAGCCTGAAGCGATGCCTCATGGGACGACAGAGATGACGAATCGACGGGAGCGGGTTCGGCCGATTAGGTCGTCAGCCAACCAGGTGGATAGTTGAGAACGACGACTCTTGAAATGTTATCTCAAGCCCACTACCATATCATCCTAAACGTTTAACCCGCGCCCTGATGAGGGGGGGGGGGGCATTTCGGCCCCCCCTATGGTTTTTCTTAAATAGCGAAAAAACGGCGGCGCTCAGCGCCGCCAAATTTTGGGTACCTTCCCGGGCATCAATTTGACACCTTCACACAAAATTTCAAGTCACAGGTCACCTTGGGTCAGGAGTTATTGAGGTCAAACTGAGGTCATGTTCGAGTAAAAATGAGCAAAAAACATGACATCTTGAAACGCTCACCAAATCTACAGTTAACAAGCCATTTTAAAGTTCTTTATGTGGTTGTGTAGCGAAAAGACGGCGCTACAAAACTGCTATTTCGGACTTTCGAAATTTTGGGATTTTCACTCTAAAATAAAAAAATGATTTTTTAGAAAACTCAAAAACTTCCAAAAAAGTTTCGAATTTCGAAAAAAAAACGGAATATATGTATGTGATAGTTCCTGCGCTCTTCGATATACATACCAAATTTCAGATCGATATCTCCTTTTTTGGCCAAGTTATAGCGAAAAAAAAACGGTTCAAAATTGATGAGTCAAATTTTTGAACTCAATTTTTAGCAATTCTAGACCACGTAGCGCAAAACGGAGACCACCATTGAACTCCCCGTGACGAGCTGCATCGAATCGATACCCATTTTATGCAAAATATCATTTTTGAAATTTGACCTAATTTGACCTGACCTTGACCTGACCTTGACCTGACCTTCACCAAAACATAATCTTAGCTGACCCCAAAGGCTGCCTGTCCTACATACTCGCATTTGGCATATAAAATGGACCATAAAACATGCATCACATAATATTTTCAATTTGTGACCCTTAGTGACCTGACCTCTGTGACCTGACCTGGTATCAGTGACCTCAAATAGCAAAATATGTGTTTGACGAACATATCCCCATCGATGATTTTCAATGAAATGCATTTTACTCAATTTTACAACGCATTTCTTTCTTGTAATACCTGTAAACGGTGAAAATTCGACCTTTGACCTGACCTGTGACGTCATCGTTTAGACCGAGGTCAATGAAATTGGGTCACAAGGTAGTTCCCCGTTGGGGCTATCTAACGCCGTTTGCCGCTTGTCGCTATGTTGCGTGGTTCTCGAGATCTTGGGGGGGGGGGGCAAAATGGCCCCCCCATCAGACCGCGTTGCTCGGCAGACCCCATCAGGGCGCGGGGTAATATTAAAACGGAGTTAGTGGATACTCTGGTCGATCATCGATGTATGGCTAATTTCTTGCCACGTTATTTGCTTGGAGATGCCAATTTGTTATGTACCTACATACGTACCTAACGAAAAATTGAGACGCACGGACACGTAAAGGCAGCGGATACTTGATGATGACCTAGGGTCATTAAGTTAAAGTGACCATTCCACCTTAACATTAGTTTTGAGTTGAGATAGCCAAATTGGTGGCCATGGCCTGCAAATACCGGTTTGGGCACTCACAACATCGAAAAATGCTTTATTCGGAGATATGGAATTTCAAACTTGCAGTTTTCGGATTCTAAGGGGCTAATGCATTGAGATGCCCCCTTAGAATTTGTGACGTCAGCGGTGATCTAACGATTTTAAAACCTTATACTAACATCTTTGTAAAGCAGTGGTGGTATATGCTATTTGCGCGCAACATCTGCCGCGAACGCCGCACTTCCAAAATGAAGTCGCTAGGAACAGCGGAGATCCCAAAAAAGTAAACAAAAGATCTTGAAAATCGGTGAATATTTTTTGGTGAAATTTTGTAAATATTCGTTTTTGCTCTTTCTGAATTGAGCGACATCACTTTCATGCCAATCCATTAACTTTTTTGAAGGTGGGAGCCGGGAGGGTCCCTTTAAAACATACGTTTTCGCCATCGGCGACAAATTGTTTGGAAGTAAGATGGTTAGGTATTGGATGTCGTTGCCGCCAAATCATTTTGGAATTGACTAAGCTTTATGCTCCCAAAAAAGAATCCCAACGTGTTGGTCGTCGACCTGACCTTAGAGGTCACCTCTTTAACTGCAACTTTAAAAACTGGATGCCTTTCATTAGCTGCATTGCATCTCGTTGGGACGGCCGAGGCCCACGATTCTTATTTTTTCCGAAAAGCTCTGGCTTAGTAAAGGGGTCGTGTCGTACTCCTTCCCTTGATTGCCCTGATAGTGTCGACTGTCGGTTCTTAGAAATCCGGTAGGTTCGGTAAGGGCTGACTTACCCCGCGTTCGATGTCTCTCGGACAACTAAGATTCTACGTCGTCCGGCCAATCACGTTCAAAGTCAGCGGGGGCTCGGCTGTGGTTATGGAACGTTATTGATCGGACGGCGTAGAATCTTCGTCGTCCGAGAGACATCGAACGCGGGGTTATACTGACATTATTATTGTCGTTGCGATTCTATATCGACATTATTCAGCCCTGCACCTGCAACGATTCGACTGTGCCTTCCAGGGTTGCGGAGTCGGAATCAGAATCGGAGTCGGTGTCGGTCGGAGTCGATAGCTCTGACCGGAGTCGGAGTCGGTGTCGGAGTCGCCAAAAATCCATCGACTGCCCTCGAATCACAGCTTCACGCTGGAACGCGTCGGAGGTAACCGATTTCGTCTGCTATTGAATCTGGCCGCTCCAGTCTAAAGGGTGACGGAGGCGACCGGTTTCGTCTACTACGAAATCTGGCTGCTCCATCCTGGAGGGCGCCGGTGGTGGCGACTCCGCTCTCTCGCCTGGACGGCCGCGTCCGGAGAGAGTGGGGCGGCGCGGCGGCGCGGGCCGGCCCCGTGGCCTGGTTGTGCGCCGCTGCTGCCGGCTCCGTCGGACAGTGGCGGCGGCGGCTGCGGAGTGGGGGCACATCGCCCGACCGCTCGCGGAGGGGCACGGCGCGGCGCGCGCGGCTGCCGGTCACCGTGTGACGAGCCGTGATACGGCCGCCGCTATCTGGGACCGATCAGCGACCGTGTGACGGCGGCGGGCGGCAGTCGGCGGCCGGCGGCCGAACACTGTGCACTGCGCCGCCATGGCTGTCCCGTCCCGGCGCCACGTGCTGTCGGCGCTGCTGCCGCTGCTGCTGCTGACCGCGGCCGCCGGCGAGCTGCACCGGGCCAAACACCAGCGGGCGTTCCCGCGCAGCGGCGAGCCGTCGGCGCCGGCGGCGGCGGCCGGCCCGCTGGCGGCGCTGCAGCAGCTCTACACGCGCCACGAGCCGGTGGTGCTGTCCGTGGTGGGCGCCGCGCTGGTTGGCTTCAGCGGCATCCTGCCCCTGCTGGTCATCCCGCTGGAGACGGGCGCGCGCCTCAAGGAGAGGGGTGAGTACCGGGGCCGGCCCCGCGGCAGGGGCGGCCGGGGTCCTCGTGTTTGTAAACAACAGCGGGGCGGAACGCCTGGGTGCCTGAATTCTGCGGTGAGGTTCCAAACATTCTAAAAAAAAAAAAAAATACTGTGATTACGCATCCCTGACAGACCTTTGGCGTTTATACGGCAAAAACGAAATTTCTTTCTGAATGCACGTAGATCCCACAACCTTGAATATGTCATCTCGTCTCCGGACTCCAACCAGCTCTGCCGGCATATACGGTCCCGTTATGACCTCAGTTGTATAGAAACCTGTATTGTGAGAGAAAGCGGACGTTACTACTTACTGCAGATGCAAATAATGAGCTTTGATTTGTGGGTCAGTGATCCCACGTGTGAGCTCTTCCCTCCGGACTGGACTGAATCCGACGGCTGCACCGCAAACCTGAACACATTACACAGAATGTGTTGTGCAAATGCGGAGCGATGCCACAACATACGGCATAACACCTCTGTCGTACGAGACCGGTCAGGAATAATTACGCTGCAAATTAAAAGCGCCTTTTCAAATAACTGGAAGTCGGGCGAACCGACGACCCGGTTTCGTTTTGTTCTTGAAGAGGCATTGTCTTTCGTTCATTCCAGACGCTATAATTCGATTGTCCCACATGCCTTTTAATCGTCAATGCCCAAGTACCTAGGATATAACGTCCTGATTCAGTAAAAAGACGTTTGCATACATCCAACAAAAAGACGTTTACCTACTTTGCTTTGATGTCCCCACATCGATCAACAATCGCGTGAAGCGAATTGATGAGTAGGTATGGATTTGGTGCTCGTTAGCAGACTCAGTACCTATAGATTAGATCTCGTGTCTGCTCCATAATTAGACTACCGTCGTTGCTAAGTTGACTGCACGATACGGCGGTGGCGTGAGTCTTTGTCCTGCGCCTGTTATTTGAGCGGCTGGGATCAGCTGAGTAGTGAGTGGGCTATCGGTCACATGTACCGGGAGAGCGGACGGGTTGAATCGCCCGTAAACACATACGGTCCAAACTCCGCTGGCCTGCCGGCATGACGTCGCCCTTATCGACATTCCAAACAGCAGCGGGCGCCGGCAGTTCGGATCCGCGAGGTGTCGGCGGACACTCGTCAGTTATCGCCGACGTACGGCTGCAGCTGCTGCCGCGGGCTCGCAACGGACTGCAGAATCGCCGCTGGTCCATACATTTGACACAATGGAGACTACTCAGTACTCACTAAGCACCTGCGC